ACTTTCAAAAACATAAAAATCCTTTTCACTATCATCATCATCAAAAACGAAAATATCGTCATCACTACTGTGTCCGCCATCACTAGTATCACCTTCTTCAAATAATGCATCGTCTTCTGTTCCATCAAGAGCATTACTGATTCCGCACTTCTTAAAAGACTTAACAATTACTTCAGCTTTTACGTCCTCCCAAGATCATTTTTACCCACTCGCACACTTGTGAAACAGAGGGCGGCTTCATTCTACCTGAGGGTGTGATGTGACTCTCCTATCCACTTGTTCCCTCGTTCTCGCACTTTTTCCTTAAATGGCTCATTCACCGATACATCTAAAGGCTGCAATTGGCTAGTCAGTCCACCAGGAATGACAGCTATCTGGGTTTTTAATTCTCACGGTTTATTCTTTATAGTTTCAGTTCTATGGTCTGACTGATCCAAAAGCAAAAGAGAGGGTTTTCTTAAGAGTCCACCAGGTCGCCTCGCCGATACTTTCTGTAACCACAGTTTCATTCCAGCTTCGTCCATCCAGCCTTTCGGATGAACATGAACAATTACACCTGTTGGAAGTTTTTCTTTCGGATGAGTTTTTCTTTTGAATATGAAAAACGGCGGTAGTTTTGTGCCATCAGCACAGCATGTTAGAACTACTGTATATCGGGTTTTTCATGACCTGTGGTTTTTATGGTTATTGATTTAGACCCTTTAATACTCACAGTCTTGTTGGATGGTAGATCAAATGTGTATATATGGTTATATGTTTCATTTCTTTCTCTGTTTCGGTACCCAATATATGTTGCATATTTTTCTCTGTTTGAGTATCCAATATATGTTAAATTTATTTCTCTGTTTGGGTACCCAATATGTTTTTCATTTCTTTCTCTGTTTGGGTACCCAAGCTGCAAGTTCTTTTGTTCGATTCGTTATCATCATAGAAATGGACTTAAAAACAAAACTAACTTAAACTGACTTCAAAACAGAACACATAGGAGGGGAGGAGAAGATGAGAGGTCACAAAGCAGTTTTTTTGCTTTCCCCCTTTCCCCTTCTCTTTATACTGAGGTCAGGCTGTGCAGCTTTAAAGGAAAGCCCACATGTAAATTGGATTGCCAGATGCCAACTTCTTTTTAAGACTAAATAAACTGTTTCTTCTAATGTAAATTATTTTTAATTGATACATTAGCTTAACATTTAAGCATTTTTTACGATATATTAAAAAAAACCTTGAAGTTGTAAAAAGTAGCATAAGGAAATTATGGAGGTCGCAAAAATTTCACAAAATTGCAAATATCAAAATTTTAGTAGCACAAGTTTGTCAAAAGTCGCACGATCTGGCAACACTGTCTGCCCATGTGTTAGAAAGGTTATTTTTCATTAGGCACAAATGTACTCATTTGGATATTTTTGTTGTTCTAACCTGTTCATCATGTCATGCAGAAGCACTGGCAGAAAATACCTAATGAAGGAAGAGCTATTGAAAGTTTTTTAAAGCTCGAAAGAGATATTGAAAGTTACAGTAAAGGTTTAAATCATTAATATTTAGTCATTAACATCAAATACTCTATACAATTTTCTTCTCTTTTTTATGTGCTATTTAATGTTTTATATAGTCTCTACTATTAATTAATGAAGAATCTGTAAGTAAGTATTATGTACATTCCTCACATTGTTGAAAAACAATGACACCTAGAAACATCAAATTTTGAACATATTTTAATCTTCCACCCAAACATGTGTACCTTAAAGACCAAATTTTAAATTTCCAGTTTGTTTTTTATTTATTTTTAATGCAAAATTAATGAAATTTTAACAAACTCAGTGATTTTTAAAGCAACATCTCGACATTTAGCAAACTGTAAAATATTTATGTTTCAAATTTAATCAGAAAACTCAGTGATTTAAAACAAATGTGTTGCCTTTGGCAAAGCATAAGGTATTTGTCTTTCAAGTTTAATGAACAAGCACAGAATTTAAAAAAAAAAAAAAAAAAATGTGTTACGACTGCCTGAAATAAAATATTTTTATCTACCAAGTAGCACTGTGTTGTCATCTGGTAAAGCATAAGTACTTAAGTTTTATTTCAAATTTAATCTATTTGTTCTTGATTAACAAATTAAGCACCTTAAAACCAATAAATATGTAGCTCTTTACTAATTACTAGCTGAACCCATGAAATTACACTAGCTCAGATATGTATATATACTCATTTATAACAACAATTTTAGGTGACTGACTGCACAAGCAACTAGTATAAATATATAAGCAGTAGATGAATTAACTCTAAAGTAAATTTTGCTGATATTGTTATTTGATACTCATGCCAGTCAGCACATTCATTTATACTCTTGATCAGTATGAGTGATATGCTAATATACAATCAGTGCTCATCAATCTACTAAGTAATAAAATAAAAGTATACAGTAAATATGTTATACTCTTGAAAAAATACTTTACACTTACATGTCAACAAAATGAAAAGATTTTGAACCGCTCATTAAGTATTATTTTTCTCCAAATAATGTTTATGCATTCTAACACTTTCACAACATTGAATTAAAGTAAAACTATCCTTGCATGTGTTCAATTAGAGATAAAAATAAAGTTTGAGCAGTCTTTATTTATTTTTATTTTTTTCATTGAAAAAGAAAAATTACAACAGAAATCAAACCCAAGCTGGATTTGAAATTAACTGAAAATTTACCACCTTCATTTTCATATTGAAGTTTTTGATTTTGAAATTTTAAGTCACCATCCTCACACAATTGATGAATCACATTTGGAAAGCCCAAAAATGACTAACACATCAGACATTGTGGTAAAAATCCAGAACTTGATATTAACAAATCACTGATTAAAGAAGCCATGGAAATCTCTCATGAACAATTTTAACAAAGAGGATTTTAATACAGAATTTAAATATAGATTTGAAATTTTTCAATTGTGCAATGCAAAATTCACAAACAGTACACATAGTAAAATATATGTGGAGTAAGATATTCTATGTTGCACTGTAAACTGACATGTGAAATAATATCATTCACTTAAATGTCTTAAAGCAATAAAATTATTTTTAAAATCCTAGACTAGGCTTCAGCTTTTTATCCATTAATCCTTACCAGACAGCCCATTGAGTTCCAAAATATGTTGAGAAATCTTTTATATATATAAGCGGCTAAAGTGTGTGTAGGCGATAGTTTATTGTTGCCACTCGGAAAAATGAGCGTGGAAATTAATGTTTCCGCAGTTTTTAATTAATATCTCGGCCAATTAAAGTTGTATGAAAATGAGAATGGTATCAATGGATTTGGAGAATTTTTTGGAATCCGGGGATATGCGTCTCGAATTTCAATTTGGCACCGTTCCGTAGATATTCGAGAAAAAAAGAATTTGGCACGTAGCCAAATTCCTCTAATAGGGAAAACTCAAAAAAAAAAAAAAAAAAAAAAAAAGTGGAGAATGCAGGGAAAACATAGAGGAAAATTAGTTTTTAATTAATATCTCGGCTAATGAAAATCCCAACAAAACGCGAATGGTCAAAATAGCGTGCCACGGACTTGCGGAATCCAACGGTGTACTTTGCTAAGCCCGGGAGCCAGCCGTTTCAGAGGAGATGATGTTACTCCACCCCATATATATATGCGGCTTAAGAGTCTGTTTGTCGTTGATAGTTTATTGGTTGCTTGCGTAACTGTACTAGCCAATGGGGTGAAGCTGCCACGGCACAGGGTTGCTGTTTCAATTGAGATGTAGACAATTTCCTGTAAAACTTGCCTTTGCTATGACCATCCATAAGTCTCAGGGCCAAACGCTTAAGCATGTTGGCATTTTTTTAAATGAGCCTGCATTTGGACACGGTCAACTTTATGTTGCCTTTTCAAGAGTTCGTGAAAGAACGGACGTAAAATTAAAAATAATGGATGGTCCTCTGCAAGGCGAGCTTAAAAATGATGGAAAGATCTACACAAGAAATATTGTGTACAAAGAGATTTTTGACATGCGAATTAACATTTTATTATTTAAATCACTTTTATTTATTGAGCTAGCAGTGGCTCTTAAGAAATGTACCACCAGTGGTTTAATACATTGCACTCTACTTCAAGCAATTAAGCATGTTTCTACATGATCTTTCCCTTTGCTTACTGCCCCACAGGGAAAAGCAAAGGAGCGTCCTCGCCACCTTCCCTGGGTAATTCAGTTTAAATTAGCAGACACCTTTGCACAAATCATTTTAATTACAATTTATAATATTTAGAACAGTGGTTATTTCGCATGATCGCCGGGCATTCTAGTAGAGATATAGCCTCCTGGCCAGAAAAAGCAATTATTAAAATTTATCTTTTTTTCAAATTATGTATTGGTTAATATAAAATTATTAATTAAAAAATCTAATTACATATCACTGCTGCTCCATACTACACTGTAAGTTTTACAGATCATAATCATGTGCAAAATTTATAGAACTATTATCTAAGCAATTAACTAAACTGCAGATCTAGGCTGCTAACAGAAGTTTTGAAGGTGCTTTGAAGGAATGCTTCAAAACTTTTCCACAGTAATAGGTTATAAAGAGCAGATGGTTTAAATTTTTAAAGATATAAAAAATCATTTATTTTGAGGACTTATTTGCAAAATCAAATGATGTTTACCTTTCATCAAATTAAAAATACATACATCTTTAATGCAGAATATAAAATTTGCTTATCTGTGAAAGTTACAATTTAAAACCTCACAAAAAGAACTAAAAAATTTAAATCCTACTATAAGCAATAATTTTCTGAAAGAATCTTACTATGATTTTGATGAAGTTCATTATGATAATGAAGACCAGTTTTAATATTTAAACCACAGCAATTCGTGATATTTTCATTAAAAGATGAAAGTAACTCATGTTTTTATAAATTAATCCTGCAAAGTTATAGGCTAAGGCACAAAGCAGTCTTTAAAACAAGTACCCAGAATTATAATTATGACATTTTAATCCACATAGCAGAATTTATAAATAACCTTTCTAGAATAACACGTCCATTGGCCATTCCAACAGCTAGCAACAGAGGGTGATCTGGTTTGGGATACCATGAGAAACACTGGGAGAAAAAAGTTAAAACCAATAAGATAAAAGCATAGAAAGACAAAAACATATACTAATAATCTATCAAACATATATAAATTAAATGAAAAAATAAGAAGTTTTATACTATGTTTTTATTTAATGACAAATCTAATATTTAAAATTAGACTGTATTTTTAAGGGGGTGGAATAATTGCAGGAATGGTATGCAAAGTTGGAATGTAGGTTGAATCATATCAGTCTACATTCCAAAAATAGACAAAATTGATTTTAAACTATGATAAAACTTTATTTATGTTTTAAACACAAGGTAACACGTGACATTCATTACAATTTATGTCAAGCCTCATGAAATAAGTGTCTCAGCTAACTCCACCATCAGCTGTAAATAGCAGAAATCTGTTGTGAAGGAAATCCCTGTAAAGATGGTCTATGTTTTAGTCATTCCTCTACATCAAGCATTACGAAAAAATTATCAAAGTGAAAAAAATCTTAATATCAGGCAGGCAAGTGACTAGTAGCCATGTAGCAGAGACTGTGAGCAGGGGCAGATTAAGGAACTGGGAGCCTCTAGTGGTAAATTTATGGAGTTCTTAAGAAAGGGTTTACATAAATATGTATAAGCTAGGAAAAAAAACTGGATCTGAAAAGTACAATTTTTAAAAAGTTAAATTCAAAAACCATTTCATATTACAGTCCAAAGTCTAAGATTTGGAATCATCCAGATTTCAGCGATTTCGGATTTTAAATCATAAGTTTGCATCTAGCAAAATGACATGTAGAAATTATAAAATAAAAAATATAAAACTGTTATTTATAAAACAGTAAAGCATTTATAATCTCAAAGAAATTAGAATTAAAAAAAACTCAATATTCATTTACTTGTTTATTAAATACAGTCAAAAGTCTTTAATCCGGACGTCCATAATCCGGAATGATCTATAATCCGGACCTCAAAGCTACAAACTTTCTGCGCATGCGTCAGCACATGCACATAATATGTTTACGCATGCGCATTTAATGTATAACGGATGGTATAAGCTAAGCTAAAACTACCTAATTTTCTATTTCAGTTAATGTTGCAGATTGCATTGTTCCTAAATCTTCTAATTGGATCCTGCTTATTATTTTTTCCAGACTGTTAAAGCAATTTTATAAAAGTAAGCTTGAACTTTCGATTATGTCAAATAGAATTTCCAATATATATTTACTAATATGTAAAGGACCTACAAAGCGAAAGTATGTTTTGAAGTCCATCAAACAAAAAGTGGAATTGCTGCAAAAAATGGATAAAGGCATATCCTTTGATTCTCTAATCATTCCGAAATATGTTTATCAATTACACACTGCTCTGCGGGAAGGGGGGGAACGTCGCAGCGCGCAATGAACTGGAAGTTGATCTGTCAGCACTATCCTTATCTTCAGGGCAGATGTTTTTATTTTATTCAGCTTATAATTCCTTACTAAATGTAGTATTTCATCTTGATGTACTCTGATATGATTTAAATCAAATTCCTCGTCATTATAAATATCATGAATACACATCAAATAGTTTTCTGGTTGCAATTTTCTAATTTCGACTATATACGTAATGTATGCATTACGCATGCGCGCGTCGAAAGAAATGTTTAATAAAGTAAACAAATAAATATAAAGCTTTTTTTTCGTAAATTTTGATACCCTGTAGATCACAATTGCTCTTTATTTCATAAATTACGGTTTCATATTTTTAATTTTATAATTTCTGCATGCCATCTTACCAAATTTAAACTGATGATCTATAATCCGGAATCGCCGAAGTCCCGACGAGTCCGGATTAAAGACTTTTGACTGTATTTCTTTCAGTGCAATTTGTATAAGATTTTTCATTTTGGGGGCTCTCTTGAAATTTACACGCAGACATAATTTATTATTCAGTTGCAAGATTCCATTATTCAAGTTCTGTAATTGTTGTGTCAAGAATCCCATTAAACTGTAAATTAAAATTATTTCATGACCAACAGCCCCTTTATCACTTTCCCATTAATGGTAGTGATATTTTCTGGATTTAAAACCATTCTACAAATTTTGTCATTATTAGTTGATTGAAGATTGGGGCATTGTCATCACAGTGGAAGACTCCTGCTACAACATCTTCATTTATTATCACTTCTCCACATTTCTTCACAAATTCCATTAATTGGAAAATTTTGCCTTTTGCTTGTGATGTTTAAAAATTTTCAAATTCATAGTTATCACCATGCAATATGGCACACCTTGCACACAAAAAAAGGGGGCAGTTCTATTATCTCCTGTTCCACTGGAACATATGTCAAAATGTAACTAGCGTTTTTTTTTTTTTTTTTCCATGTCTCGAAAGTGCGACATAGAATATATATTAGATTTATATATAGCATTGTTCTAACATAAATAGACATAGATTCAGACCTTTTTCTAAAATAACATACCAATTTTTTTCCATATTTCAATTCTATGATTTAAATTAAGCCAAAGTACCAAGTTTGGTAAAAATCGCACAAGTAGTTTTTAAGAAATTAGCTCTCAAAAGTTTAGCCCCTCCATGTAAATTGAATTTGGTTTATATTTATTAATCTCTATTTTTTGTATTAAACTTATTTGATTCTTTGCAATTTAGGTTCATTCCAAATAAAATTTGCCCATTTTCTTTAATTTGTATTTTTAAATAATTTTTATAAATTTTTTGATAAAATTTTTTTTATTTATAATCCATAAAATTTTACTATCATCTTAAAGTAGATGTATTTCTAAGCATACTTGCAAAAAATTAAGTTTTTTTTAATTCAAAATTTCTAAAGATATATGTGGATTTATATATCAGAGCATTTTGAAATTTGCCATATTTTCTATAAGCAATAATAATGGCAAATGAGCTTTATGCACTTTATTAAAATTATTTGAAAGTATGAACGAACCTTTTTTTCCCATGCATGCACAAAGAAAAAAGGCAAAGGAAAATAAAAAATTACTATAAATTAAGAAGTTTGCCAGGTAAATTATCCTTGGTGCAAACTGAAAAAATGTGGCAAGATAAATTTTTAAATTTCTCCAAAAATTTCTCACCAAAAATTACAAAATTTAATATCAGGGCATAATTTGAGTCGTTGAATCGAAATATGGAAAAAAGATTGATATGTTATTTCAGAAAAGTCGGATTTTGTGTCAATACCTACGTTAGAATAATTCTATACATGAATGTAATATATATCTCAAATTGTGCTTTTGAGACATGGAAAACACAAGTTAAATTTCGAAAAATGGTCCAGTAGAAGAGATACAGAACTCTCCCCCCCCCTTTTTTTGTGTGTGTGTGTGTGGAAGGTGTACTTGATTATGTCAAACATTTTTTTAAAATGCACTATAATACTCCACACAGCAGATTTTATGTTGAAATATTTCAAGCATTTTTTTAATGGTCTTGCCATTATTCAAAAAATTAAGTACCGATTTTGAAAAGGCTCTTTATTAATATCTGGGTTTCAGTGCATGAAGCATTCAAATATTTCCTGGCTAAATGATGAATATATAATCTGAAGGTATAAAAAAATGTGGAGATGCTATCTTTTAAAAAAAAATTAAGAGAAGTATGAGATGAACAGTTGTCTGTAATCAGGTAAGTTTTTGTATCATATAGTAAACAAACAATTTGCAAATGTTGCCAAGCCTGGATATTCAAAGATTTTTAAACCAATCATTCATTAATGCTTGTGTCATCCATGCACTTTTGTTTGAATGATAGATGATGATCAAAATCTTTACTTCTTTAAATACCTGAGTTCACATATTTTTCCTGATTACAAAAAAATTGGTTGCGGACACTTAGCCGACGGGACACTTAACCGACACTAGTTGGTCGACAAGACATTTAGCAGACAAGGACACTTAGCCGACATGGACACTTAGCCGACAGGACATTTAGCCGACAGGATGTTTAACCGACACGGACACTTAGCCGACAGGACATTTAATTGACAGGTCATTTAGCCGACATGGACACTTACCAACAGGTCATTTAGCCAACACTGACAGTTAGCCGACAAGATAGTTAGCCGACACGGACAGTTAGCCGTCAGGACATTTAGCTACGGGACACTTAATTGTCAACACGTTTAGTGAACAGCCAACAGTGAAATTTAGCTGACACGTACCCAATAATTATTCAAACTTAGTATAGGTTACAAAATTTCTCGATTTCTCCATAAGTTCAATACTTAAATTATTTTTTTCACTTCAGTAAAATTCAGTTTTCAATTCTTAAAGATCTCATATGTGCTTTTAATTATTGTGTTAATTTAGAATTGTTTGATATGTATCGTGCTGTCTAGTGTATATTGGCCAAATTGAAAAAGCGCTGAAATTTCTCGTCAGGAAACATGAATTAAATTTCGAAATAAAAAAAAGAATTTTTTTAGCTAAGTACGATGTTCACTTAATTACATTTTAATACGGGATCTTCAAAAATTATCCGTAATCTTTCTTCATTTAATCAACTGGGTTCTTTCACTTTCACATGATTAATAATTTCCCTTGTTTACTTGTTCCTTGATAATAATTTTCCAATCTCGCTCTTTCAAATGTTTTCAAATTTCTAACATCTTTACGTTTCATTAATATTTTACTCATCACATCATGTTACATTCTTTCCCTTACAAAATCGTTTGGCTCCTACCGCTAATGAAATTTCCTTTCCCTGTCCTATGAAGCGACGCAGTCGCAGATGTAGGTATCCAAGCATTGCCTTACCCTGTATATAGCAAGTGAAATTACTGAGCATAACTTTTTCTGTGCTAGCATTAAGTTCAGGAGATTTGAATGCGAAGCATTCAGATACCATTTTAGCGAAATAGGAGGTGATGAGCAATTATATTCGTAGGGAGCAATTGTAGTTATTTGGCAGATACTGTAGGCATAACTTGGTTGTAGGAATATCGTGCAAGAATCCGCAGTGAGGTGGGATCATTCATTTCGTGTTACGAAGCGCAGTTACTCGAGAGACATCGTAGGCTAGACTTAACTGGCTGCTGTCCTCAGCATAGTAGGAGTAGACCGTTCTGAAATATCTGAATAATGCATTAAAAATTATTGTTATTCTTGAATTATATTTCGTATAGAAACATATGGTGGTGAGGGTTAGTTTAGCAAATATATTTTATTTTGCTATTAGAAACAATTTAAAAAAGTGAATTTGTAAGACAAGCAAAGGTATAAATTATTTGTGAGTATAATTTGCAGTTCCTGTCACCATTCTTGAGATAAAAATATTGTGACATTTTTTTTATTACGCCTCTCGCTTAAAATATACTTACTTAGGTTAATGTTTATTGCCCTAAACTAGTGCATAATGTTTAATTTAGAAGTAAAATATTCTTTAAGGTTTTGTTTTATTTATAACTGAAGCTGCAGAAGGAGGGCCACAAAGTAGGGCGGAGCAAAGCGACACATCGTGACAAGTCACCGTAATGTAGTGCCATCTAACGATGCTAGATTTAACTATATCTGTCAGGTAAATAGGTAATATTATTTACTATGTTTTGAAAGTCACGATGTGTAATTTGCAATATAATATGTTATATAAATGTTTTTCTTATAAAATATAACTTTCTTCAATATCTGTTAAAAATGTATAAATTTTCTTTTCATTTTTCATTCATTTTATTTATTTATTTATTTATTTTTTCCCCTCTTTCCTTCCTTCTCTTTCTCATTTTTGGTTTATCGGCCACCTAACAGAAGTAAGTTTGGTTTATGTAATTACGGCAAAGGCAGATGGCTATTTGCCTAAGGGAAGGGATGCCTTCATGGAGGACTTTCTAAGGAAAACTGCCTCGTATACATGCTACACATGGGAAAACCACGAAAACAGCCTGTCTGTTCGCGGGATTCAAATTCGGACCGAACACCGCTCGGCAGCTGCTGAGTCTAACAGAAATAGTGACCGTTTTACTTAATATATAACCAGTCTAATCCATTTTTTGCAGCAGTGTCATTTTTTCCTAAACTGGTATCAAAACATGCTTTCACTTTGAATAGCTTGCTTCCGACATAATTGGAAATTCAAACCTTATTTTTTAAAGGCAACTGTAATACCCTGCACAATATAATATGCTGCATCAAATTAGAAAGTAAGTGTGCAATTGGCTATATTGAATAACTTAAATTCCTTAGACTGTTTCTCCCTTTACTGCTGCTATGCCAACAAAATAAAATCATTAGAAGCAACATATCATTCTAAATAAATACAACTCAAAGCTTCATTTATTGTTTAGATCAGACAACCACTCAAGGACTGAAAGTATGGTCATGGCCAACATCAATATAATGTCAGTAAACCTATTGTCATTGGCCAACATGTGTTTGTAAACGACATGCAGGAATCCCAACTGGTCAGGAGAAAAATTCCTTCCTTTTATGGCTGACCTACTTTTTCTATAGTATTATATTCTCCATTCTAGACTTTGCAGGGTGTAAAAAAAATTTTTTTTTTCTTTTTGCTGGTGGTCTGATTATTGAATGTCCAAAATATCGAACTTTGTATAGTGTATATACATGTCGTGATTTTAAAATGCATAGATGAAGGCAGTGGAACTTTCAACAGCTTTTGATATTGCATAGATGGCTGAGAACACTGTAGTGGCTGACGGTAAGGCTGAGTGGAAAAGCATGATGACGCATTTAGCACAACTGATCTTGAAGAATCACAATTTTTATTTTTTCTAGACAAAATATTTCTTAATTATAGTTGAATACAATAAGCTCCATTTTAAACTATGATGTCATCCTAAGCAAATATGCAGCAGCGTCTTGCCAGCACGGAAGCGTAAACAAAAGAGAATACTGGAAATCATAGGAAGAAGGGAGGGAGTCTCTGCATTAAAATTTTACATAACATAGAAAGATCTTGAATCCGAGAGAACAGATGAATTTAGGGGGAGAACATAAAATCTAAAATCATTACTTTTGATGTCTCCAATTATTTTTTTAAAGCAGCTATCATATTTTGTTATATTTTACATACATGCATGTGTTGTGTAACAATAATTCTGTAGATATTTTGATGATTCTTTACACAGTGCACAGATAGAACAATTGAGCTGTACCTGAGATGCATAATGAAAAAAACTAGCAGTCATAATTGCCATATTTTCTTTTACTCGTTCAGATTTTTGACTTCACATATACTTTATCCATTGGAATTTGAGACAATGGTTCCCATCCTAGTCGATTTTATTTACTGTAATAATTCTTTAGATGATTGACTGAGGGTTAGAAGATAGCATAGATAACAAGGCACAATTTTATTCCCTGGAAACTAATTCAAAGGGCACAGAGTCTTTTTTTCACATCATTATGGGTGCAATATGCTTGCCATAATTTTATATAACTGATCACATTTGAGACAATGGATGAAGTGGACAAATGAGTAACATGTGATTGCACAGTGAGTGGAAGGTAGGAAAGTGATTACACATTTAAGGGTATTTCTACAGTTTATTTCTTTAAGTTTTTGACTGTGATTGGATAAAAAATATCTGCAGTGCTACTCTTACATAAGAGCACAATGTGGATTAATTTTCAGATGATGTACTTTAGATTCCAGGAAGGGGATGTAGCCAAATTTACCGTAATTTCCGGAAGAAACGCCGTGGCGTTTACGTGTTTAAAACTTAAATTTTCAGCGGGTGCGGCGTTTCTACCCATGCAGCGTTTAGGTGCACTAAAAATAAAATATTTCCTATGATGGTCATTGTACATAATTTGGATGGCCTTGTCATTGTGCATAGATTGGTGCTGTTCCCACACAAAAGACCACTCAGTTGCTTTTGCGAACGTTATTTTGTTTACGTTCTTTCCCTTGAACGGACCTACATGCCTTATTCACCCTAAACGAGATCTCAGAACAATAACATTCTTCCCCCTTTCAAATCAACATTCTCATCAGTTTGAATAGTCTCTCTCCTCTGCCATTCGATGAATCTTCCAGGACCCATGCTCTTTCCACCCGTCTTTTCTGCAATTTTTTCAAAGGCGGACACGACTCCACCTGCCTCGCAATAATGAACTCTGACGTATTCCTCCTTCAGCATGAATGGATTTTTCTTGGCATTCTGCCAAATACAGATCCCATCAGTTAGGGTACAAGTACTTATTGAATAGTTTTTAATTAGGGAGCGGAAAGTTTTTGAAAATGACTCTAAACGGCACAGAAGCTATACATTTCTTACCTTTAATTTATTTTTGAGTTATGGTTTCATTTTATGCCCTTTTCTTAACTGGTATGTCATATACCAGGACTTAGGTTGAGTTTTTGCATCTATACGGCCCAACGACGGTGTCACGCGCAATTTAATCTATTGCGGCGTTTACGCTGATGCGGCGTTTCTGTGTAATTTAAATTTTTTTCCCGCCATTTTTCTCGAGTGCGGCATTTACGCTGATGCGGCCTTTCTTCCGGAAATTATGGTAAATGAAGAATTAAAAAGACTATTCCTAAATTAAAATTTGAAGTTTTTTTTAATATACATATATTTTATAACTTGCATATTTGATTATATGTGTAAAATAAAAAGTATGACAGTGAACTTCTAATTTTGACTAGCAGTGGTCCCCTTATATTCTTCATTTTGTTTTGGACATTTCCCCTTTCTGTCGATGGTAAGTGTTTGTAAAATATCAATCGAGAGTGCATCTTTTCAGAACTGATCCATTTCATACCCTTCTACATAGTGCAGCAAAAGAGATATCTTTTCTCCAATCAGAGTAATTAAGCTTTTGACTCTATATCTGACACTTCTGAATGCATCTTTTTTCGCTGGCTAATAGGCATTGCTGCTAACTTCTGTGTATTGTCCATTGCCCGAAGCTGCACTAAGCAATCAAAAATGTGGACAACATTTTGCCCCACCCCATAATTATGTGTGAATCAAATATTGCATCTCCAATACTGCTTTATCAATTTAATACAATTATATTGAATTCAGCCAGGTCTGTCTGCAGATGTCATCCTTCTAACTACATCGTAAAGCTTTGCCAAGTTACACCTATGCAATGAACCATCTCAAATCTACTACAGTCATCTACCAAATTTATGACATACATATGTGTGTTTAAAATAAATCTGACATTATGAAAATTATGTAACTATTTTGTATGCTCTGCATTATATCATATATACTGAAAACTGATTATATTCTTAAAAATTATTAGTTATGTAATTTACCTTTAGATATTGATGATCTAAACTAGTTGCAATGTTGTTAGCAGTTGAATACTCTGATATGCAGATACCTTAAAGAAAATAAGGGAAACGATAATAAATATACAATATTATATTATTTACTTATATTTCATCACACAAAAGAGAATTATCTTAATCTGTGCTGCTTATTCCTTTACAGATTTTAATCCACATTCATTTTTAGATGTAAATGAACAAAATTTTGATTTTTCAAAAAATTTAGCATGGCAAGTTTCATCGAATTTTTTTTGTGTACACATAATTATTCATTACAAAAAAAATGTATTTATAATGTATTCTGATTAAAGAAGCCAATCTTTTCTAGAAATGAAATCATTTAACAATTTATGCATATAGTTTGGTTCTCTGGCTCTTTATAATAAATATTTTATACATGCCTTCTACATAAAACAGCACGCACTGGAATATTTTCAAAGTTACAGGGAGCTGACATTAAAAAAGAGAGAGAGGTTCATTAACTGGCATGATATCTGAATTTATTTGAAAACAGATAAATAATGGTAATGATTTAAGATCACATTTATGTAATTTTTTTTACATGCTACATTTATAATTTCCATTTGTCCATTATATAACTAAAAAAGAATGATCTAATCCAGAAGTCAAACAACAAAAATCAGCGTTATATTTACAAAATTTTCACAGGACTAGTTTCGATGGTTTTACCGAACCACCATCTTCAGCTGCAAAACCGCAAATGAACAAGATAGGAAATAATGATTAGATAAGATAAGAAAGCCTGGGCAAGAATAAGCAAGTGGCGCCATCTGTTGGCGAAACCAGAACTAAAACATAATTTCTCTAAAAGCCGAAGGCAAATTTGGGTTGGAATTAGGATCGTTAACTAGAACAGAAAGATTTTTATGAATGTGAAATGCCTCTAGAAAATCCAGTTCTCCAATGGAAGATGTTTTTTGAATAATTTTAGCAGCAGAAAAATTGAAAGTGTGATTTTCGGACCAACAATGTTGAGCAAAAGAAGACTTCTGTGTTTCCTTTTTTCTAACATATACCTCATGTTCTTTGACGTGAAATTTTAAGGCTCTCTTAGTTTGGCCAATGTAAATTAAACCGCACTGGCAAGGAATCCTATAAATACCCCAGGAATTCATATCCGGAATGGGGTCCTTGAGTATAGAAGTCCGAATTTTATTGATGGGAGAATAAACAACCCAAAAGTTAAATTTCTGCAAAATATGTGCAACTTTATAGCTAATTGATAGAAAGAAGGGAATGACAACAGAATTTTTATAATCTCCTAAAATAAGAGTGGCTTTTAGTGTGTTGAGATGAGAATTTTTTAACTGCTTGATTAATAATGTTGGGTGAAAAGCCCCTGTCAATCTCTGTCAGCCCCTGTCAAGAATGATCTGTTTTTTTAAAATGACTGGCAGAAGTTTGGTGGGATCTTTGATGAATTTTCATGGCTGAAGGAAAATTATGTAAGTATAAATTGTACAAACAAGTAAAAGAAAATTAAAGTGAACAAGATATTAAAATATAAACAGAAATAAAAAATCACAAACAGGAAAATAATGAATAAAATATAACAGTTCTTAGTAACATAAATTTCAGACAAAATACTAGGTAAATGGAAACACCTTTTAACTTCAAATAAAATATTCTGAAAATACAATCAGGAATAACATTTTATATCAAACATGATATATAATTCTATCAAACAAGAAGTTTTATAAGCAATATAAACCAAAGCACACACAGCTTACCTGAAGGCTTTGTAACTCCCTCTTTTAGTTCTTCAATTTCATATAACTGAATATCAGTTCCCACAGTAATGAACCTTAGGAATTAAGATATATATATATATATATCACAAAAAATAGAATGTATTTAAAAAAATGTACTTTATCAACTTTAAAAACATATATGAATCTCATTGCAAATAAAATAAATAAAACCATATTTTAATTCCTGTATATGAATTCTCTTCACTTTTTATTTATATATAAAATCTTTAAATAAAATGGATAAGAAGTTAGATTTTCCATAACCAATTAAATAATAATATTTAGTAATGAATAGATGAAATGAGAAAAAAATAGTAACATGCATATTTAGTCCTTTCATTGTCAGTTTTCTTGATTATACAGCTTGTATATTCAGTAATATTTTTCAGTTTGAAATGAAAATAATGAAGTCTGCAAAAAATTTATTTGTAAGATATTATACTTGAGAAAAAAAACACATTTACACAGAATAAAAACAAATGTAAATCTGCTAACATCTGTAAAATTAACTGACATTAGTAAATTGTACAAACCTTCCTACATATAAACAAATACCAAAAAAGGCTTTTCAGAAAATGGAAAATAAAATGAAATTTAAAATATATAAAAAAATTCAACAAAATCCATTTATGTAAAGTGATAATCCTGATAATTTTTTTTAAATAAAAGGAAACAAATTTTAAAAATGAATTTGCTAAAAACATTACAGAGACATCAACTCTCATTAACCTCACAAAGACGCAGCTGTGCTAAGTTTCTTTCAGGAATTAAAAATACAAGTAATAAGCCTCCTGTTTGTCAAGTTCCACAGAATAAGATTAACCCTCATGCCAGTATGTCTACCATACTTCCGTATACTTCCTACGCAAAGGTTTTGAAAAATCAAATCCTGGATAACAACACTCCTAAAAATATCACAAAATCTGCAGCTGAACCAGATTTAAGTTTCTATTTAACTCCTTTAAAGATTTATTAATGAAGTTAAAAGTATGTTTAATGCACTGTTCTTTAATGAGTGTAATTAGGAAAATGTTTGCAAATATTTCGGTACAAGAGACTGAAAATTCTATAGATAAGCATTTTATTGTATTTCAATGATTGAAGATGTGTTTAGTTCCTGTACTGTAAATAATATCTTGTATAATTCTTCAAGTATTATTACATGGAATGCAAATGGTTTATCTCACAAGATTAATAAACTTTGGGATTTTATAAATGAGTACACCCCTGATATTATGAACCTACAAGAACACAAGCTTAGCCATGATCATTGAATTTTTGTTCCAGACTACGATGTGTATTGGTCCTGTAGACCTTCATGGCAGAACTATCCTTATCCTGATGGCAGAACTATCCTTATCAAATGCTGCATTCCCAATAACAATTCCATAGCTTTTTGCCATAGAGTGTGTAAAGTGATAATCTTTAGAGGCCTCAGCTATTACACTCACACAAACACCTCTCTGACATACACCTTTGTTTCCACATTATATCCCTCCCAATCAGAACACTGCATTATTTACTATCAATCTCAATAGATTACTAACACTTATAGATTTATTACAGGTGGAGACCTAAACACATGATATCGCACGTGGAACTGTTATAGTACAAACAGTACTGGACGTGTAATCTACAGTTTGGCTAATTCACTCGTGGCAGCTCCAAGAACCCCGACGCATTATGGTACAGGGTCCACAAGTGTTATAGACTTCTTCCCGCTCAGGAATACCAGTGATCCACTGGATATTTCTGTGCAGGATATATTATGTTCTGATCATAACCTGGTTCGAATATTTTGGACATCAGTCACTATATTACATATTACCAGATAGAAGGGCCTTTACTACTGACTGGCATGTATATGCCAAAGCCCTACAACATCCAAATACACTATGACAACAATACATGCAGAGAGTAACATCGACAGTTTGGTTACGAACTTTACAGATCAGGTTATGAGTGCTCAAAAAAGTGCCAGCAAATCTGTTAAGAACATGAAATCTAAAAGAAGTGCTGAACTAAGGAACCTAATAAAAAAGAGAAATGCTACTAGACTGCACTTCCAAAGGACCAGATATCCACTGGACAAGCAAGAGCTAAACCATCTTAATGAAGTTATCAGGTTTCTAACCAACACACAGCCACAATGTGACTGGACTGCATATCTAAACTTACTCTTGATAGATGATAATTCCATCTGGACAGCTGTTTCTAGATTAAAAAATGCTACAATAAAATTCCATCCCTTAAAAGCCCTAACAGGATCCATTACACTGAAGCTGAGAAAGCAGAACGTTTAGTATTGCATCTGAAATCTCAGTTTTGCACAAACAACATTCATGACACAACAAAAGAAAACTATCTCTGGTTTCCACGTTAAGCACATATCAAACCTACTCGCAAACACATTATTCCGGTTAAGCCGTCGAGAGCTGCTGGCTATCTCAAAAAGCTTAAAACAAAGAAGAGCCCTGGAGTAGACTGCATAACCAATAAAATGATCAGGATGTTCCCACTGAAACTCATCTTTATGCTGATGAAAATCTTCAGCATGGTGCTCAGATGGCAATATTTTCCTGAAGCCTGAAGATCATCTCTATTACACCCGTACTGAAGCTGAATAAACCAGCCTGTGTGCCTGACTCTTGCCAACCAATCAGCTTGCTTCCTTGCTTAAGCAGGCTTATGAAAGCTGTTATCTTTTGGCAGGAGTTTGGAATCACTTAGAGAAAACTAATATTCTAATCCCCCAGCACTTTGGATTTAGAAACAATCTGTCTGCATCATATCAGTTATACAGGGTGGTCAAACATATTGTGGGAGGCTTACAGACAAAGAAATTCACAGGTTGACTGTTTCTTAACATAGCCAAGCCTTTTGATCATGTTTGGTTGGATGCACTCATATACAAAATACACCAGCTGGGTTTTTCATCTTACATTACACACATAATTAAACTCTACCTAACAGGTAGCCATTTTATAGTTCACATTTCTGGCACATACTCAACTCACTATCTTAGGAGTTGAGTCGCATCACATGTGTCATTACTGGGACCAACACTTTTTAACATTTATATATTATTATTATTATTCCTTGTGTACCCAACACTAGTCTTGCAATGTATGTTGATGATATAGTGATCCTTGCTCAAAATGCATTTCTCAGTCATTCAACAACTCCTAGACCACATCCATGCATTAGAAACCTGGCTCAAAAAATGAAGATACAAATTAACCTGGATCAAAACATTGCTGTAATGTTCACAAAGAAAACGAACATTGATAAAAACCTGAAGTTTCTTGGACCACTCTGTCCTGGGCCAAGCAAATCACTTATCTTGGGGTGATCCTCACAAATATGCTTACATGGTCCCCAAACATACATTCTATTATTAAGAAATTTTTGGTGCATATAGCTAAACACTTACCTCTTAATTGCCTGAAACAGTGTTCTATATGTAAGTAACAGGTTATTCATTTATAAATCCATTTCACGTCCCATGCTCTGTTATGCCTGCCCAGTCTGGGCTTATTTATGCAAATTTAATGGGAAGTAATGATAAACAACGCAGAACTGCATTCTACCGCAAATCGTAAACTTGCCGTGGTACATCAGAAATAATATATTTCCTGAAGAATTGAAAATTTGTCAATTTAGAACATTTTATTATCATTTGGCTACAAGGTTTCACACAAAAAGGAGAGCCACTAATAATCCAGAAATTCGAATCTATAGCAATGATTATACTACTTAAAATTGGCCATTTTCAACCCTTCTGTAATTATGGAAAATTAATGTATTCGTAGGTATTTTTGTTTCACTGTATTATTTTTTCACTTTTTATTATACAAATCTTATATCTTATGTAAATATTTATGATATCATACACTACTGGTTCTTGGCAATTGCACTTGCTACTTTGCGTTTAGTTATCAGCTCAGCAGCCTTCAGCCTTTCCTACCAGTCATTTTATACTTCACTAAGTTTTACTTTTAATATTGATTACAATTTTATTAATTAATTTTTAAAAAATTCTTATCCTTCCTAATTTATGTTCTTTTTATTTAAAAACTTAATTTTAATTTGATTTGGGGTAGAGCATCATGCCCAGGCACCTGGGCATTTAAGTGCTCCATGGACGAGCTGAGAGGTTATTAAGGTTTAAAGAAAATAGTAATGCTTGCTGTGATAAATCTTATTTAATAAAGTTTTCTTTTACATACTATTATAATATATATATACGTATATAAGTGGATGATTCTTAGAGAATGTAATTTATTAAGAGTACTTTCACCAACATTTATTAGCAGAGTTTGTTTGTCCCCTCTGCTGATGAACTTTTATATAAAAGATTGATGTTATTTAGGCTTAAAACATCGCTAATTTCTTTAAGAGATAAATTTGATTTATATTATAATTAGTGAATATAAATTAGAAAATATGCCATATAATATGATAAATTTAACTCACAGAGAAAAATTAACTGATGATAATATTACTTTACATGGGTGAACATAATCAAAAGTAAATTAAGAAATTTCAAAACATGGAGAAGTGTAATAGAAGTTGACCAACCACCAAAACCATATAAAAGAGACGATGTTAATTATGAAATTGAAAAAAAAAAAAACTTGGGAACTATGGGATGATGATAATGTGATAGCAAGAAATATAATGAATCAAACAGCTCTACAAGTGTTAAAATATATGAATGAAAAGAATGCCAAGAAGCTACAGGAGAAAATAAAAAATGAAATGGTGGCAAAAACAGAAGATATTCAAATCAAATGTAGAATAGAATTAGCTCAACTAAAAATGTGTCAAACTGAATCTGTAGATGATTATATGAATAGAGCTATAATTCTGAAAAGTAAAAGTATTCAAGTGGGGGATGAACTAAGATAAATAATTAATTTATTTTATTAGAAGGACTTGGAAAGGAATTTGAATCTGATGTCAAAATCATTAATAAAAAAGCAAAGAGGATATAGCTTCAATTAGACAACTATTAGAAGAAACTGAAGGGAAAAAAAAAAAAAAAAAAAAA